TATAGCAGATGTACAGAACACTAAGCATATACAGATGTTTAAGATGTGGTCCCAGCCTTCTTGTTATCTAGCTATAGAAGATACTGTATACAAAAACTTATTTTAAAACATCTAATGTTAAATCTGGAAATGAGAAATCATCTCACAAAACCTTCTCATTTTGCAGCTAAAGAAACAGAAGAGTATAAATGGTCAATGGAAAGCTCAAATAAATATAGTAGGTTAGTGGCAGGGTCGTGGCTATAAATTTTGTCCTTTCATTCCTACTACGTGGTTTGTGGTTGTGAGCACAAAGTCCACAGATCCTACATACTGCAGAGTTTCTTAAAAAGGCATAATTTGTAAATTGTTTTTGCTTTAGTTTTTGTTTTTAGTTTAAATTAAAATAAAATAAATTTTTTTTAAAAAGTTGTAAGATCTAAGGAACAGGGAGATCCAAATATGTGTCCTCCAACTGTTCACTGCATTAAACATTAAAGAATTTTAGTGACAGCCTGTATTCTTTATACAAACCAAGAAAGGCCAATTATGGATTATATGTGTTTGTTATATTTTTAAAAACAGAATGGCTTTAGTGAACTAAACTTCAGAGATTTTGCCTTGACTAAGAATTTTTTTTTTTCTTGGCAATATACTATAGGTACACCCTTGATTTCCCTGTACTAAGTGCACTAATTTTTGGTTTGATCCTAGGGAAATTACAGTTAGAAAAATATGCAGTGACTCTCTGTGATAATGTAGGACAATTGCTAAGATCAGACACATACAAAATTTTAGAGATCTCTATTTCAACTCACTTTACTGGTTAGTAAATTTGAGCTGAGGGATTAAATGACTGGTAGTTCCCACAAGTAGTCAGATCAAGCTTGGTGCTAATATCCCAGGGTCTCCTGACTTTGAATCCCGGGGTCCCATAGTCACATCACATCATTCTACATTATTTTTATGATAATTTCCAAAATTATTACTAGTGTGATATAAGAGAAACTTGATACTGTGGGGGCAGGGGGGAGATGCATGGATTGAGGGTGAAGAAAACTGTTGGGTTGATAAAAATTTAAAAATCTTAGCTTTTAGGTTTAAATCTTTCTGCTTTCTGATACTATTCTTGGGCTTTCAACCATTACCCATTTTCTTCAAAATGATGTATGGCAGGACCCTGTCCCATGAGCCTTCCTTTTCCTCACAAATAAACCAACCACATTCTAAACCATTTGCTCTTCTCCACAAGCAAAGCCTCAAAGCTCTGAGGCCTGAGGGTCTCTGCTTTTAGGCAGGAGTGCAGTTCTCCAGGATGGCAATTAAGTCTCAGGTGTGAGGGCTCTAAGGGCATTCAAAGATGGGAAAGATGGGGATGAGTTAGAGAAGGCAAGACAACCCTCTGTGCCTGCTCCATATCGAGGGACTTGGAGACTCCCTGAGTATTAAAAAAAAAAAAAAAAGAAAGAAAGAAAACAACTTTTTTTTCTTAATGTAATTGGAGAGGCTTGCTGCCTTAATGCTAGAGGACTATTCAAGGAACACCGAACTAAAATAATTGGAAAGGAGGAAAAATGGAGTACAGGAGGACCAACATGAGGATACACATAAGAATAAGAAATGGAGATAACACATCATCTTTTTAATTATCAGTTAAAACATCAGTTTGACCTACAGTTTAGATAGAAGAGTATTGGGAAAAAGTGAAAAGAAGCTGAATTGTAGAGTTATAAGTGGCAGGGACTAAAAGCTTATTCATAGGTAATAAATAAGGTGGTAGGAGTTACAATATCAGCTGGGACATGCTACATTTCAATTCATGTTGTATATCCATGTGGTGAAATTAAGCAGGTAATTCAATATATAAGTCTGGTGGTGGTATATAATGGAAAGATGGCTCAGATGACATGATTCTGAGTCTTGGCTCCATCAACAACCAACTGTGAGACTTTAGTATCCAATACTGAAATACCATAAAATATTACCTGCTTGCCCTAGTTAGAAATTGTGCTTGGCTAATAGCAACAAAGCTTTACACTAATGACTTACTAATGAGAAGTCTGGAGCTATACACCCAAGGACTGACAATTTGGCAGTATAATGTCATCAAGGACCTTGGCTTCTCATATCAAGCACTCATCACCTCCTATTTACAACTTGGCTTTTGGACCACTTCCCATTGTGTTCATGTCCCAGGTGTGATGGAGGGGAAGGGGCAGAAATCAAATGCCAGCTGAGTTAACAGCTCTGTCCTATCATTTAAAGAGTTTTTCAGTGATGCTTGACTCAACAACTTTCATCTCATTTGCTAAAACTTCAATGTCAAGACACCAATACCACATCTACATAGGAGACTAGCAAAGTAGAAAACATACTTGCTTTCAATTCAAATAAAGTACAGAGAGAAAATATCTTATTCCAAGGAAAAACGTTTTTGAGAAGGTCAGAGCAGATGGGATGTGCAGAATAAGTGGAACAATTTGATTTTTATATGAATAAAAACACTTAAGCAATAATAGAAGGATGGTAATGAAGAGGGTATGGAGAAACTCAAGTAAGATTTGTTTTCCTCATGTCCCATGTACCACAGATCTTGGAAGTGTGAGTACATTTTGTTTATACTGCCATTATCATTTTAAACAATTTAATTTTCTTTTTCCTTCAAAGCCCTCAACTCTTCTGTGGAATGCATCATTAGACTTAGAATCTTCCATGTTGCTATCAACCACCAAATATACAGTAATCACATTAATTCATTGAAGATTTTAGTCCCTGTTTCATTTTATTCCTTCCCGTAATAACTCCTGGCATGATGATTGGTAACTGATTAAATTATACCGATGACTCATTAAACACGTTGGCCTTTTATTTTCTTGGTCTTCTTGACTCCAGTGATCTGTTCTTCTGCCTTGATTTAGTCATAGATTTTTAAAAACATACTCTTGACTTGTCAGCCCTCATATATATGTTACTACTGAAAATCTACTTCAAGGATCTCATTCCTTGTCCACCACCTCCCACTCTAGCAATTCTGCAACCTGATGCTATCAGAATCTTCTCAATATCAATCTATCTTCCCTTATTTCCTTAATGCTTTCTTATGAACTTCTATACCATGGGTCTTCATTATTATCACTCCTGTGTACATGTTCCTATCATCTCTACTCCCCTCTCTCATTCCATTGTCCATGACTAGTTAAATCCAGCCCTATGCTCTTTGTGCCCCTTCAAACACATGGGTGACAACAGAGCAAGACAGATAGGCAGGATGACTGGTCTCACATTAAACTGATGAACATAAATCTCAAAGTGCCAATTCACAATGCGTAGCCATTCCATTATACATTCCTTATTCTGTGTGCATGTGTGTATTTATATTTATATATATTTCTGTCCCTTATAATAAATGACTTCTCTCTCCTTCTCAAACTACCTTCCCCTCTTTGCTCCCTCAGCTGATAACCTTGTTTCTTTCATATGCCATCAAGAAAATAGAAACCATCAGAAAATAAGTTCCTAATATTCTTAACACCTAAATACCTATTGCTGGACAAAGACAGTATTTGTTGGTGTGTGGTTAATTTTCTAATATTTTCTAATGCCTCCTCTTTCCTTGCTATGTTTGCTATGTGTCTAGCATTTTATAATACAGCAGACTAGAAGTAGATGATCTATTTAATAATAGTAGTTGGAAAACTATGGAAACATAAAATACGTTCTTAAATTGGTATGTGTTTGCTTATCTGTTCTTTTGTTTAATTGTTTGCTTTTAAATGAGATTCCTTCACTCAACTAGAACCACTGGGGGTGGGGCTGTGGTGTTTGAAGATAGTCATTAATTGGAGGTGGGTGAATTTTGTGTATGGAACAAATAACAGCATAATGGAATTATGTATATTTATATATATGAATATATAAATATATATATTATTATATATATAATAACATTTTTCACTGACATTTGGATAGCGAATATTTTGAGAAAATGCTTCTACACACCAAAATACTCGTGTAATTTTAAGGGTTCTACCTTGAAACATATCTATGGAATCCTGGTCAAGATCCTGAGTGGAAAATATTTTAAAAGTTGGGGGATTAAGTATGCTAAGCGAAATAAGTCAATCAGAGAAAGATATGTATCATATGATCTCAGTGATATGAGGAATTCTTAATCTTGGGAAACAAACTGAAGTTTGCTGGGGTGGTGGGTGATGGGAGGGATGGGGTGGCTGGGTGATAGACATTGGGGAGGGTATGTGCTATGGTGAGTGCTGTGAATTGTGTAAGACTGATGAATCACAGACCTGTACCTCTGAAACAAATAATACATTATATGTTAAAAAAAAAAAAAGTAGGAAGGGAAAAATGAAGGGGGGGAATTGGAGGGGGAGACGAACCATGAGAGACTATGAACCGAGAAACAAACTGAGGGTTCTAGAGGGGAGGGGGGTGGGGGGATGGGTTAGCCTGGTGATGGGTATTAAAGAGGGCACGTGCTGAATGGAGCACTGGGTGTTAATGCACAAACAATCATGGAACACTACATCAAAAATAAATTAATTAAAAAAAGTTGGAGGAATAAGATTAGGCTGGTGTTGTCAAGACAAAAGATGTTACTAAGTGTATGTGAATGGGCAAGACGTCTTTGTCTGTTTCTTTTTAGAGGGACCTATAACCGTGACAAGGGCTACTAAATCCTTTGTAAATGATTTTCGAGAGCCAAAATAATAATAAAATAAATTTGAAGTTTATTAGTTAAACAATCCACTGTGAAGATATCTATACTAGGGTAATTATTTTTTACTCACAGAAAAGCAAAAAGATTACTGACAAGCAGTTATGAGCTGAGTATAACATTGGTGAAGTTTTAAACTAAGCATGTATTTATGTTACTAATATGACAGATTGTGGAGTCAGCAGGATTTGGTGGTTGGCTATGGAATTAATGAAATAAATTTAGCAAACTGTAATCAAACAAATATTGAAGTATTTTTTTTCTTTCTTTTTTAATGTTCAATTAGGTATTCAATTGACAGAAACACAGACTTGGAGAGATACTTCAATATTGATGCCAACAGTGGAGTTATTACAACTGCCAAATCTTTGGATCGAGAGACAAATGCTGTTCATAATATCACAGTTCTTGCAATGGAGAGCCGTAAGTTGTAAGGTTTAACATTAAATTAGGATGGAGGTCATTGAGAGTAGAGAATGGGTTGTCATGAGGTGCTAATTTCTGCTTGAGTTACATTACATGCTTATTTTAATTGAGCAAAATCTTGAAAATCCCTAATTTCAAGATGTGAAATATACTTATATCATTTATTTGCCAATACTCACAAAGTTAATGAAAAGAGATTACTATAAAATAATGGGCCCGAGTTACCTTCCAATGGCTTCCTGTTGTATTATAGTCTTATTTCATAAGCTGCATCTATGCTGATATAAAGTCGGTCCAAGAGCCTACAAAAAGTAGTAACTTGATCTCTAACCAATACACACAGATAAGCATATTGATATTGAACTGATTTTAGCCCCTTATAATAAAAATATTGAAAGAACAATGCATAATTATATGTTATGCATATTATCTACATATATAGTATATGTGCATAGATAATATTTATATAATATATGTGTATAGTCATACAAATCTGTACTCTAGCTTCAAAGAATATTGAAATTCATGGTTTATTGGTTCTTTCTTTCAATGATTTTCTCATCAGGGACTCAAATAAATACACACATGTACTATACATATATATGATGTTTAGATCAAATTTTCTGTTGCTCCCTTTGAAGAAACATAGTGTTATGTTTCTAGATTTCATTCATGGTTTGGTCATTTTCTTATTAGAATCATGATTTAAGAGGCAAACCATTTTGAATAATTCTAATTGTTTTTAATAGGAGTTGCTTGAGTAAAATGGCAATAGAAAATAGCTTTACTCTCAGAGTAAATGGTAAGACATTTTCCTCTTTATTAGAGAATCCATCTCAAGTCGGAAGAGGCTATGTGGCCATTACTATACTCGACGTCAATGACAACGCCCCCGAATTTGCTATGGACTATGAGACCACTGTGTGTGAAAATGCCCAGCCAGGGCAGGTAAGAGCTCTCAGCACACCAGGCTCCTAGCTTGTGATTTCTTTAAAAATAGCCAGCCGCAGTTGCCTTTGAAATTCTGCCAGCTTTAAGATAAAACATAATCAGCACGTCTCAGCAAAACTAACACTTTGATGTGTAGCATAAACTAATATTGAAGGAACTTTAAAATTCTGGTTTAATTAGGATGATGAAATTTCTCAAGAAGAAGAGTGAACATTGTAAAAGCCATGGTAAATGGTTGAGGGCTTTGACTCTTTTAAGGAGAAATCTAGCATATGAAGCTTGATTGGGCTGTTCCCCGTTTTACACAGCAGGGCTTACGTACCTTAAACTTCTAAGAATTAAGTGTAGTTTAATCTTGGTGTGGTTTGTTCTACTCATCCTTATCGTTCGGGGTTTTGGGATGTGTACTGGGCTAATGTCATCAGTTGGTACAGCTTCTTTCTCAGGTTCACAGAAGTAAATGCAAACATGAAATTTCAAAGGGACATGATTGAGTTTTCAGAGCCCTTTTTAGATTGGGTTCATATTAGTACATCTGGTCCTTCCCCCCAGGAGGATGGTATTTATTATAAGGTATAAAATTGCTCTGTCCTGTAGCACAGAACACAGAAGAGCACAGCAACGTGCTTTCATGTTTTTTAATTCTCCATCCCTAGGTTATCCAGAAGATCAGTGCTGTTGATAAAGATGAGCCATCCAATGGACACCAATTTTATTTCAGCTTAACAACCGATGCAGCAAATAACCACAACTTTTCACTGAAAGATAACAAAGGTAAGGAATTATTGTCACCAGTGGAGGCAGCAGGTACAAACTCTCTAGGCAAATACTTTTTCTTGCTCAGGAATGCTGATTATGGAGACACACACACACATACACACACACACACACACTAGCAAGGACATTAATTAAAGGGCAATGAGCACCTCAAGTAATTTTTATCTGTGGATTTGCTGTCATGAAGAAGCAGCTGCTACTTAAATCATTTCAGGCCTAAATCCAAATAGGGGAGAAGCCAGATACATCTCTTTCTGACTTTTCTTTTAGACCTTTGAGAGCCAGCTAAATGTGTTAACAAGGCTATATACTACATAGGTATAACTTGAGACATTAGGAAAATAATCGGTATTCCCAGTTTTATATCAACCTAAATCAACTTTGACTTAATATTTTCAGTAGTAGCTGGGGCGCCTGAGTGGCTCAGTCATTAATCGTCTGCCTTTGGCTCAGGTCATGGTCCTGGGATTGAGCCTCGCATCGAGCCCCACATCGAGCCCTGCATCGGGCTCTCTGCTCTGCGGGAAGTCTGCTTCTCCCTCTCCCACTCCCCCTGCTTGTGTTCCCTCTTTCGCTGTGTCTCTCTCTGTCAAATAAATAAATAAAATCTTTAAAAAAATATATTTTCAATAGTAGCATCAGTTATTTTATTTAACAAAAAAATAGAAGTAATCCATGCAAATAATTAACAGATATATTCCTGATGCAAGGAAGTATAAAAAAAAAACCAAAAGAATTTCCTGTCATCCTAAATCTCATTTCTCTGCTTCAAAGGTAAACACTCTTATCAGTTCCCTAAGTTTCATTATAGAATATTTTTATAAGTACCTGTAAGTATATTCTGGTTTTGCTTAAAAAAATACACACACACATTTTTGTTTTAAAAATCTATATATAGACAGAAACACACATATATTTACATTTTATAAATATATATAGACTGACATAGGCATATATAAACAATTATAATATAAACAACATATATATATATCATTATAGACAACACATGGACAATTATAAGAACTTTAAAAGTAAGAGAACCTGCTATCTGTCCTCTAATTTTGAATTTATATATTCACAGGTGTTTTCATCCAAGGTATTTATTTTAACAGAAGGGCATTTTCAACTGATATAGAGAGAGAGAGAGAGGAGTATGCTCCACCAATACAGAAAATGTAATTCCTTTGGGTTGAATGTGTGAATCAGGTTTCAGGGGGAAAAAACATGTAGAAATAGATTTGCTAGTCAAACACTGGCTCATCTAAAAAGACTTACTCAGAAGGTAGACATGATAAGTACTTTTTGCCTGAAGCCACCATCTTCTTTAGTGTAGAAAATCCAACTTTGACCTCAAAAATTCAATCTGAAAATAATAGTTTTCCTGATCCCACTCTCTGCTTAAATGAGAACACTATCTTGTCCCTTTAGTAATATAAAAGGAAGAGCATTCTCTATGTGGGTAATCCTAGACTCTCTGACTTAATCATATTTGGGACAATTCTCAGCACTTGGATTCATCCAGCACAAGTGTAGAGAGAGGATTTTATGACCTTGCCAAGAAGAGTCTGAATATTTCCCCCATGTGTCATCATCCACTACCGCCACAATTGTTGAACAGTACATGCACTAAAATGTATGGATTTATAGGACATCCCCACTGCTGCACAATTGAAAGATTTCCCTAATTCAAGACCAGAGCTCCCTAGCATGTACCTTGGAGAAGATCCGTTCTTATATTAGCTTCCATCATAGGAACTGCACAGAGAACATGATGAATTTTATGATCTCCTTCCTGAGAATAGGGCTTTCTTTCACATATTGGGCATTTATGCATGTGCTTCACAATCCATTGTGTGTGTGTGTGCATGCACACACACACACACACGCATGCTATTTGATGCCAGTCATGTTAGATTACAATTCAGCAGCTCTGAAAAAACTTTGTGTATCAAATCATCGATACCTATATCTTAATGATTGGGAGGTAAAGAAACAGACACGTGTGTGTGTTACTATTAAGTGTATGGAAACATACTGAAAATAATATCCTTCTATAACTCCATGTATAGATTTTTTTTTTAAAGATTTTTATTTATTTGAGAGAGAGAGAATGAGAGACAGAGAGCCCGAGAGGGAAGAGGGTCAGAGGGAGAAGCAGACCCCCCGCCGAGCAGGGAGCCTGATGCGGGACTCGATCCTGGGACTCCAGGATCATGACCTGAGCCGAAGGCAGTCACTTAACCAACTGAGCCACCCAGGCACCCCTCCATGTATAGATTTTTAATGAACACCTGAAATTCACATCTTAAAAGATTTGTTTACATAAAAACTTACCAGACAGAACCTAAAAATCACAGTTTTATACTTGCCACATCTATGATTGGAGGTTATATGTTTTCTCCAGGCTCCTATGAGCTTCTTGTTTTGTGCTCTTTGGATAGAATAGATTTCAGCTTGCTCTTTCATTAGAGCATTGTTAATTCTTTTCTGATAAACATTGGATAAATATCTTTTTGATAGCTTGGAAAGGAGATACATATTAAAGTACACTAGATGAAACTATGATCCTATTTTCCTTCTTTATGTTTTAATTGCTATAAATTTAAAGGATCACATAAATTTTCTAGTTAAGACAGTAGCTGGGTAAATTGTTAGTAGATAAAAAAATTATTTCTGATATAGAAATTACAGTTATGTGATACAGACTTATTGATCACTGGTAAAAGCTTCATAATTAAATGTTAGATAAAATAGAATATTGAATATAAATTAAACACAAATGACCTATTTTATCACTAACAAAGTGTTTATATACATGGGGTTTGGGTGATGATATATACCAATATGGATTTTTAAAAACTACACAATAATTCCTTTCCTGAATATCTATGTATACTTAATTCAAATAAAGCTGGATTGTCTTATTTTACTTGTTTCTGTATTGGGTTTGGAACTTGTCAAGGAGAGGATGGATTGGGATTTTTATTTGTGTTATCTGATGATGCTGCAAAAATATTTATCCTGTTAATTTGAATCATCCTCTTTGTAAGTGTATGGTTTGAAATTTAGGAGAAAAGGGTGTATTCTATGTAATTTTTACAAAGTTGCAGTTAAGGGATGAACAAAAATTTTCATATTCAGTTTTACTGGATAACTGTTTCCTTTGGTCATAACCGTGTAGCATGACGTAAATACATTAAAAGGTATTAAAATCAACCAATACTGGGTAATAGAGCTCTCTGACAAAAGACACTTAACAGAATGACTTAAATCACATAAATTTGTGTGTGTGTGTGTGTGTGTTTCCTCTAGAAGTTTGTACCTCTTAATCCCCTTCACCTATTTCGCCCAGCCCCCCACCCCCTTAAATCAGGTAAGTTTGGCAGGACTGAGTCCATCAGAAGTTTTGTGTTACACATTTGTTTTCTCTATCCTAGACAACACAGCTTCCATTCTCACCAGGAGAAATGGCTTCCGGAGACAAGAACAATCTGTTTACTATTTGCCGATCTTCATCGTGGACAGTGGATCGCCTTCCCTCAGCAGCACCAACACTCTCACCATCCGCGTCTGCGACTGTGATGCCGATGGGATTGCCCAGACTTGCAATGCAGAAGCCTACGTCCTACCCGCGGGTCTCAGCACAGGAGCCCTGATCGCGATACTCGCCTGTGTCTTGACATTACTGGGTAGGTACTGTTTCCAGTGCTTGCTCTGTAAGAGCAATCGCACCAACCATATATCATGACCTTTCTCTTTTCTTTTGCCTTTAGTACCTTTTTGAGAACATATGCAAGAATTCTATTGGATGGTGTTTTGTTCAATGAGCAACCCTTGTTCGTTGGCCACACTTTCCAATGGTATATTTAAAATACAACTCGGAAAAAATATCAATTTCATTTTTAAAACAACATTGAAGATAAATGACTGTTTAAACTTGATTTTTTTTTTTTCAAATTTACCGTGTCCCAGCTGTTTGTTTTAGAATACCCTACAGAGGAGATATTTTAGACCAGAATATTTTCTATGTTGTTTTGATAATGTGATTACTTCAGAAATTATGGTTTTATATCCCACCTCTTTTCAGAAAAGATTTAAGGTAGATTTTTAAATTATTCACAAATTTGAAAAGATTGCAATTTCAGCAATGCAGAAGTTATAATTTCCCAAGAATTAGCATATTTAATTATACTCTCCATGATTACTTTATTGCATGGTTAAATAAGATTTATAACTTAGAATTAGTTTTATAAGAGATTATGCAGTACCCTTTTAAAAATTGGGAGACATCCAACATGGGCATTGGGTAATGGGTTTATTCCTTAGCTATATTGTCTATCAGAGTAGAACTTCCTACGTCAAGGACAACAGGCGTTTAATAATACATCTGAGACCGTACTGTGTGTTTTCTTGGGGTCTAATATAATTTGTGAACCCATTTATAATAGATTTTTGTAAAAGCTGAATTTGGCAATGTGAGTCATCATTGTGTAATGTTTAAAAACAAGATTTATGAAGTTCAGTAAACCTAACTTTTATTACTGTTCCCAACATACACTAGCTTTTCACCAGGGGAACATTATAAAGCTGGGCTACTTAATCTAGAAGGGAAAAATAATAGAATTAGACTGTAAGGTTGTTGTAAAAATTAAATGAGATAATCATGTACCTACCATATAGTGCACATGCGATAACTTTTAAGTGTTATTGATGAACTGAATTCTCAACCTATTAACCAAGCTAAGACCTAGTTACTAATACACTGTAAATGATCTCATACAAATAGAAATTACTGACTTCAATAACCTCAGCTAACCAAATAAATCTAGAAAGGAAAAAAACTTTTTTTCAAATAGCTTCACACAGGTGATGGAAAGTCTCAAATTCATTAGAAATGGTAAGTAATTCTCAGTTAAAGCCTGATTAGAATAGAATACAAAGGACTAGAGTAAATTTTGAAAAAGATGGAACCATTGCAAAGGCAGATGGTGTATGGATGACTCTTTTTGAACTTAACCTTAATGGCCAGTTTATCACAGACAATTTAGATTATGTCATACTTCAAACAAGTAAGATAAAATTGTATTCCTCACAATTTAATCACACCCAACAATTAATTACCTTTGACTTTTTTTTAAGGCTGTCTATCTAATGAAGCCTTCTTCATGCTTAGAACATACTCTTACCATTGACCTAAGGATTCCTTGCAGGCTAAGTGGCTTGATGGTTCTAATTAAGAATCATTACCTAGCTGTCACTGAAAATAAGTGAAATAGAGTTTTATAGATTTTATTCTTGCATATGACATATAAGAGTACGTGTGTGTATACATTTGTCTCAGGGTAAGATTATAGGTTTTTGTGGATTTCGTCAAAATTTAGTTATATTTGAGCCTTTCCCTTTAACAGATACCAGACTAGGAATACCTCTTCCGCTTCTTAGGATAAGGTGTTTATGTCTTATATTTTACTCATCTTTTAAAGTTTCTCCAAGTCTACCAGAACAAGTCCAAACAGAGCCTATTGTACTGAAATTCATTTGAGGACTAGTGGCTTTCATTTCTCAGTGAGGACTTGGCTCAGTCATCAGTGTGTTAAAATACTGAGTCTTTTTATGCCTTATTTCCTGAGTCTTTAGAAACAGATGATCAGGACGTTGCATATTCTTTTGGTTCTGTCTCCTCAATTACAGACTCTGGGTTTTCACACAACATGTGACAAAGCCAACATGACCGCGTATTTGGGTGGGGGTGCTGTGGATGGGATACACAGCCTGGCATGGGTCACGACTTCTAGTGCACGAGTGACCTTTACACCTCAAGAGGTGAGGTGGGTTATTCCTAGACACTAGATAACAGGATTTGTAACTCAACATTTTTAGGCTTCTAAATAAATATTGCTAGAAAAAATCAGGGTAGGGGTGCCTGGGTGTCTCAGTTGGTTAAGCATCTGCCTTCAGCTCAGGTTATGATCTCAGGGTTCTGGGATCGAGTCCCCATGTCGGCTCCCTGCTCAGGGAATCTGCTTCTCCCTCTTTTTGAATCCCCCCCCTGCTCATGCTCTCTCTTTCTGTCTCTCTCTCTCTCAAATGAATAAATAAAAAATCTTAAAAAATGGTTTTAAAAAAAAAAAAGCAAAGGGATGGAAATAGGGAAGAACTACTTGAGAATCTAGTTCAATCTATAAGGATGAAACTAGAGAAGCACCTGGGCTTTTAATCCCTAAGAAAAGGTGCTTCCCTGTATGGCAAGTTTGTTTTCCAGTGATGTTTCAAATTAAAGCTATTTGTAAGATGAGAGAAAGGGATTCCCTGAAGTTTCCAGAATATTCATGCTGGAAGGCATCATAGAAATCAATTCTAGCCCAAACCTCTGCACTTTGCAGAGGGGAAAAGGGAAGTAAAACTGGGTTCAAGGATTTCGGGAGTTCATATAACAAGTTACGCCATAAGATTCTAGGTCTCTTTATCATGAATCACTGCTTTTGGATTAAACTACAAAAAAAAAAAACACACCTTGAAAATATTTTTTTTTCAAAATTGTTCACACATAGTCCTTTCTTTCTCAGAGTTGAAAAGTCATGTTGTCTGAAGTTGGTCGTGTCGACTTCATGTTTGTGTCCTCCTACCTTTACGGGTGAACTATTTTCTGAGTTTTCTCCCATCCTAACTTTGTTCTCACCCTTTCTAATTTATTTGTACCTGAATTTTCTAAATGAAAGAGACCCAAAAATTAGAGCCTGAAGTTTCCTTTACTTACATTGAATATACCTCGAATGGGAATGATTATGGTCATATTCAAAGTTCATGATAAAGTTATCAATCAGAAGTGATTATTTTGCAAGTAGAACCATTTCATCAGTATATGGCAAAATACTTTAGTATTCTAATGTTTGACTAAATATTTTTGCCACACCAATTTTTAAGATTTTATTTATTTATTGAGAGAGAGAGAGCATGCAAGCAAGGGGAAGGGCAGAGGGAGATGCTCATGCTCAGCATGGAGCCCAACATGGGGCTCCACCTCACGACTCTGAGATCATGACCTGAGCCAAAATCAAGAGTCAGAGGCTTAACAGACTGAGCCACATGACTGAGCCCTACCCCAACACCAATTTTCTTATGCATTTTTATCATGGTTAAGTTCATAATTGTGGGCATATATTTTTTTAATACATGCCCTCTTTAATACCAATCACCAGGCTAACCCATCCCCTCACCCCCTCCCCTCTAGAACCCTCAGTTTGTTTCTCAGAGTCCACAGTCTCTCATGGTTTGTCTTCCCCTCCGATTTCTCCCCCCTTCATTTTTCCCTTCCTACTATCTTCTTCTTCTTTTTTTTTTTAAACATATAATGTATTAATTGTTTCAGGGGTACAGGTCTGTGATTCATCAGTCTTACACAACTCACAGCACTCACCATAGCACATACCCTCCCCAATGTCTATCACCCAGCCACCCCATCCCTCCCATCACCCACCACCCCAGCAAACTTCAGTTTGTTTCCTGAGATTAAGAATTCCTCATATCAGTGAGATCATATGATACATGTCTTTCTCTGATTGACTTATTTCACGTAGCTATAATACCCTCTAGTTCCATCCATGTCATTGAAAATGGCAAGATTTCGTTGTTTCTTTTTTTGATGGCTGCATAATATTCCATTGTATATATATACGGCATCTTCTTTATCCATTCATCTGTTAATGGACATCTTGGCTCTTTCCATAGTTTGGCTATTGTGGACATTGCTGCTATAAACACTGGGGTACACATACCCCGTCAAATCACTACATTTGTATCTTTGGGCTAAATATTGAATAGTGCAATTGCTGGGTCATACAGAAGCACTATTTTCAACTTTTTGAGGAACCTCCATACTGTTTTCCAGAGTGGTTGCACCAGCTTGCATTCCCACCAGCAGTGTAGGAGGGTTCCCCTTTCTCCGCATCCTCGCCAACATCTGTCGTTTTCCTGACTTGTTAATTTTAGCCATTCTGACTGGTGTGAGGTGGTATCTCATTGAGGTTTTGATTTGGATTTCCCTGATGCTGAGCGATGTTGAGTACTTTTTCATGTGTCTGTTGGCCATTTGGATGTCTTCTTTGGAAAAATGTCTGTTCATGTCTTCTTCTTATTTCTTGATTGGATCATTTGTTCTTTGGGTGTTGAGTTTCATAAGTTCTTTATAGATTTTGGATACTAGCCCTTTATCTGCTATGTCATTTGCAAATATCTTCTCCCATTCTGTCAGTTGTCTTTTGGATTTGTTGACTGTTTCCCTTGCTGTGCAAAAGCTTTTTATCTTGATGAAGTCCCAATAGTTCATTTTTGCCCTTGCTTCCCTTGCCTTTGGCGATGTTTCTAGGAAGAAGTTGCTTCAGCTGCGGTCAAAGAGGCCGCTGCCTGTGTTCTCTAGGATTTTGATGGATTCCTGTCTCACATTTAGGTCTTTCAACCATTTTGAGTCTATTTTTGTGTGTGGTGTAAGGAAATGGTCCAGTTTCATTCTTCTGCATGTGGCTGTCCAATTTTCCCAACACCATTTGTTGAAGAGACTGTTTTTTCTCCATTGGACATTCTTTCCTGCGTTGTTGAAGATGAGTTGACCACAGAGTTGAGGGTCCATTTCTGGGCTCTCTATTCTGTTCCATTGATCTATGTGTCTGTTTTTGTGCCAGTACATACTGTC